TTTCTATTTAAAACAAATTTGATGTTTTTAGCATTCAATTATTAATACTTATCATTTATTAAATTAACATTATATTTACAGTTTAACTGTAATTTTAGACACCACTAGAAAATTAACAAGCACTAATAAATTTTTTCTATTGGTATAGTACGGTAAAGTTTACTAACAAATTTTTTTATTTCTGTATCTATCGGTAAAAATAAAATAATTTTTTTTATTGGTATATACTGATAGAATTGCAGTGAAAAATAAGGAATAAAAAAGACCAAATAATAAGATGACATGTAACTTTTACTAACAGCGTTACATAAGGAATTAACCCGGTAGTACGTTTTTGAATATGTTTATGGAATGATTTCTAGTTATAGTTAAATGATATTTTGATCTCAAGTGGACACATATAAGTTGATGAAGATGATAATAATGATTGAATCGACGTAGAAGACTATGATGAAGATCAGGATGAGTTAATTGACAAAGAAGAAGACAATTATGATAATTTATATTATTTATGGAGGAAATTTAATTCAATGTAATGACAATGGTGTTAATTTATTATTGAATAATAAGTAAATATTTTTTTTAATTATTGTGATGCGAACTAGTGTTATTGTATTGCATGTACAGTTGTGAATTTAAATATTGGTAGGATGGATAGATAAGGAGTAAAGATCAAAACTAACATCAAACACTGTTTTTACTTCGATGGAAATATTTACTGAATGTATTTTTTGGTATATTCTAGTGGCGATGAGAACTATTCTCCTTCTCTTTAGCCCTATTCACTTTTCAAGATATTGATAATTAATGTTTTTTTTTTTTTTTTATCAATGGAATCACCAATTGAATGCTCATTTAATACCGACATCACCAAAAAATACATTCAGTTGATATTTCCATCGAAGTAAAAACAGTGTCTGATGTCAGAAATAATTTAAAATTAAAAAAAAAAACAATATATTGAACAAAAGTAGAAAAATAATTAAATAAAAATCAAATATACAAAAAGAAATTAAAATAATATAAAAATTAAATATTTATTATAAAGTTAAATACTTTTAGGTTCAAATATAATAAATCAAAAATAGAGACGACGCTAGAGGAAAAAGAGGAGGTTGGTCGTCGCCTGAACCATGGGGTTAATAAGAAGCCCTTCTTTTTAACCCTGTTCACTTTTCAAGACATTGATAATTAATGTTTTTCTTTTTATCAACGGAATCACCAATTGAATGCTCATTTAATGCCGACATCATTAACTTAATGAAAAGTTATAGGTAATATGTCTATATTATTTAGAGGGTTTCTGTAATTTTTCGTGCAAAATGAAAATTTTAACTTGACTTCACAAATAGAATCACTGACTGAAATTTAAAAATATTAATATTTAATATTCTATTGGTTATTCTGTTATTAAAACCTTATATAAAAGATCACAAGCACAACAGATGGGACTTCATCTTCTTTATTCTTCTCATTTCTTACTTTTTTTGATGATCACGAGTCATTAGGTGTTGACCGAGAATAGACACATGAGGCATATGTATCGACTCATAATGTGTGGACATCGTGTGTGATGTCGCAATGTCGGAGGTCCTTTCACAGCAAGATCTATTTATCCGTAAGTACGAGGTCCAATGAAAAGATGACTTTTCAATGCAAGTTTATTTTGCTTTCACAACATGTTTAATAATTTTTTTAAAATGATTTTATTTAATGAATGCAATTTCAGGTTTACAAACATTGAGACTGCGAGAACAATAACATCAAACTTTAAATTATTGATGAAAATTCTATAGTTTTAATAGAGCCAAATTTCCAAACATCTTAAATGGAAACCACAAATTGATGTACAATTTTCAAGGTTTAAAGTTAATATTAAATTAAATATTTTTTTATTATGTTAATTTTTTTCGTTTATTAAAATTACTAAAATTTTTCTTTATTTACCGATAGAATGAAGTGGGTATATTTTTTTTGGCGTGCTTTATCCTTCCGTCAATCCATCGATAAATTTATTATTGACAGACTCACTAACAAATTATAAATTACTAATGAGGATTTTTTTGACAGATTGTTTCTTTTCGTGATTTCATCTGTAAAATACTTATCAATAGACTGTGTGAGTAAACATAGATAAACAATTTTGTTAGTAAAACAGTTAAATCTGGCAGGGAAAATTTATAAAATTCTAATTTCTTTCTTTTTTTATGTTATTTTATTTTCTTTATGTTATAAGACATATGATAGGAGATTGCTCTGGATTTCTGAATCTAGTTTACAAGATAATGTTAGATTTTCACAAATTTGATATCGTCACAAACCCTTGATGGATAAATATGATACGTTGTTTTTTATTTTCACATATGTCAATTTTAGATGTAAGATTCGTTCTAATTTCTTGATTTTTTTCTTATATATATATATATATATATATATAATCAATTCTCCCTGTAACATAGATTATTTCCTTAATTCAAATTTATTCAACATGGAGAATATACTTGATTTTTGAAATTTTCTCTCTAGGAAAGTAGAAACTTCAACAATAGTTTCAACATTCTAGAGAATTTTGTAGGCATATTATTTGGTAAAATTTCGGATGGAATGCAAAAACTGAATAAAAACTTTTACCAAAACACAAGATCAATTCCATCTGACGCCGAGCATAGACTTAGCGCAGGCAGATGAAGGTAAACAAGGCCAAGGCCAGGATGTCAAGTGAGAGTTTTGAGTAGCTGACTGCAATTTGATCATGGGGATAACTTAAAATTTGTTTTGCATTTCTTTTTAACCATAAGCATTTCCCATTTGCTTGTTGACATTTTGTGTGAAAAATATTCACAAGAGTGCCAATTTGTGTGGGACTTTGCACAGCTAAGAGGTTGCTATTTGAAGTTTCCTTGGTGGGTGGATGGGTGGCTTCATGGTGTCAAAAACAAGCAAAACCATGCCACAACCCTTCATCTAACGAGAGGACTCATCGCTGAAGCCTCATCTTGAACCAAGAATATATTTTCTTGTTTTTAGAATTGTTATGTTTAGTTTGATTTGTTTTTATATATATTTATTTATTTTTCATTCCTTATTTTTGTGCATTGTAGAATCATCCTTCTTAACGTTTAAATCTTATGATTGGTGGATTAATTAGTGTAATTTGTTTATTACAAAAAGGACCTTATAGCATATATATTTAACAAACAAATGTTGCATTTTATCACACACATATATTGGTGAAGTCGGTATCCCCTGAAATATGAGTGAGTGCAAGAAATTAATTATTTTTTATTGAATATGTGGTTCCATATAAGAATAGAAGAAGAATTCAGAATTATTCAAGAAAAAGAAGAGGAGGAGGAGGAGGAGATTTGGGAACTCAAAATCTTTTGAGAATAAAACGACACCAATATTTGTTAAATGTATTATTTTTTAATAAAATGCTATTGCTTCGAATAAATAAAATGATACTAATATTTCTAAGATGATTTTTTTAATATTATATTAAATTTTTGTTGATAAATAATTATAAATTCAAATTTTACTATTTTTATTTTACATAATAAAAATTAAACATTATTTTTACTTGAGAATCTGTGTTCAAGAATAATATAAAATTATTTTTAAAATTTTATCTAATGATAATATAAGCTATGACATAGCGGAAGTTTATTAATGAAAAGGATCACTGCCCCTTTTCTGTGTTTTGTTCGAGTCCACGAACAAGAGAAAAAAAAACACGAATCCACGAGTAAAAGATTATTGCCTTTGAATGACAATTCTTATTCAATAAAATCCAAAGTGTCTTCCAACGAAAAAGGCAGCTTGTATTTATAAGCTGCAAATCCTAATCCTAATAATAAAAGTACTTATTAATTTAAATGACAAAAGAGTTAAAGTCCTACTTTAAATATGTAATTTAAGGTTATGATTTCTAAGCAAATAATATTAGTCTGCAGGGAATCTTCGATAGGAGGAATCCATGTGAAACAAGGAAAAGAGTAACAGAGGAGAATACGTTGCTTGCTCTGGTGTTATGTTTCCTTGTAGAAGTAGGATTCCAGTTGGCCTGGAATTTATTCATTAATCTATCCTACATCAAGCTATTAAATTAAATTAAATTGAACACTGACCTTATAATCACTTATAATCATAGTGCTATAAAGTCACTTATAATCATAGTGCTATAAAGTGTACTGTGGTCGTTATGAATGATTAAAGAGAGGGGCCAAGACTAATATGCAACTACATTCATCAAATTATAATTAATAATCATGAGAATGTTGCCTCTCATCCTTAACCTACCTTGGTCCATAAGCCATCGAATACCTATCAGCACTAAATAAGACTAATATGCAACTAAATTCATCAAATTATAATTAAATAAGCCATCGAATACCTATCAGCACTAAATAATTGCGAGCTTGCTGCTGGTTGAAACAATTCTCCCTTCTAACCGGGGACCAGCTTGTCAGGACAGAACACGATGGCTGCCGACTAATTTTGGCTGTGATGGGATCATAATTGAGCTACAAATGCCCTTACATTTCCAAAAGAAACGTACTGAGTGGCACATCTAAACCACTCGTTAGGTTTTGATGAGTCCAACTCATAAAGGATCCAAGTCAATGTTGTGAGCCATAAGGATCAATAACAATATCAATATCAATATCGATCATTCATTCACATGCTTTGCATTGAAAAAATCAACACGGTCACACACCACACGGTGTCTTTCAAAGACTATATGAATGGCTAATTGGGCCTAAAGGTTAGACTTGTCAAGTCCTATCTCACCCATCTTGATTTGAGAACTCCCACTTGTTCCACCCATCTCTTAAATTAGGCACGTTTTGATTGAGCCTTTTTGACCTATGTGGACCATAGAAATGTATATTCTCTAGAGTTTCATGTAGCTTATATAGAACGAGACGTTGCTTTTTTGATTTCCAAATTCAGCCACACCTAAAAGATAGCAAAAAATATATATATCCAAGATAGATATGATGGAGCGTCCGATATGTCATCTCCAGAGCATGAATGGTGACCTGCTAAACGATATCATGTCTCGTGTAGATGGCTCAGCCCTCGCTTCGGTTGCCAGTACATGTTCTGAGCTCCGAGGCATTGCTCGGGATCAAAGCTTGTGGAAAAAGTTGTGTCATAACAGGTGGCCTTCCACTGCTCTTGAAGAAGCTGAACATCTGATTTCAGGTTCTGTTCACGGTTGCTTCGACAAATTCTACTCGGACGCCTGCCCACTTGTCTTATATGATGAAGTTGCCAATGCCAACCCTTTGAAACTGCTTGAATGTGCTGAACTAAGTCCCCGCACATCTCCTTCTGACCTACTGTCATTGATTGATGTTTATTACAAGAACAAATGTGTCCTCTCGAGGATCTCGGATGGCATACCTGAGGCTGTAGATATATTCAAACATGGACTTGTGGACAGCAGCTGGGAAATGATCGCTGACGGGCGACAGAAATGGTTTCTAAATTATCCATTTAAACTGGAATTGATGGACCTTAAAGACGATGACGATGACGAAGCATTAGCTTCTCCTATATCATCACTCAATGAGGCTGGAAAATCAAGAGAAAATCTTTGCAAGAAGCTGATAGAGGATCTCAGGTTGAGTTGGATACTAGTGGACAAGAAGACAGGCAAAGCTGTTAACCTCTCAAGCTGGAGGCCATTATCAGTACAGAAGAGTTGGCCATATCATGCTACTTATGTGATGCAATTCGGATGCGTTCTACCCGTGGAAGAAAGTTTGCTTCCTCAGAAGCTGGCCAGATTCATAGTAACAACTAGATTCATGATGACAGAAAGAGAGGAGTGTCTGAAATGGAGGGAAATCAGTATGAGAATTGAGAACATAGAAGGTGCCCATGTCAATGGAAGGAGTAGTCTGATGATTCTGAATAAGGCCCTTTACAGCCAACGCAGTACAAATCAGTTTAAATTGGAAGAGGGATTAAGGAAGTATGAGAAACAGAAGCGAGAAATGATGAGTAGAAGGGAATCCAGTGAAACTTTGGCCGACAGATTATTTCCATTCATCGAGACCACTGTTTTTGTAATTTTATACGTTGCTCTTAGGTTGCTAGTTTAGCACTCTCATATCAAGGGGAGGTGTACACTGGAAAAGGTGAACATTCTCCCATAATATTAGAAGATTCTGCACCGCACTCTACTGACATGGTAATTGCCCAAGTATGGGCTGAAATTATACTCGATAAATTATCCATTTTAATCTGGAACGTTGGACCTTAAAGATGACAGCGATAATGATAAGAGCTTGACATCATTGTTAGCGCTCAATGAAGCTGGAAAACCATGAGATCATAGCAAGAAGCTCATAGAAAATCTCAGGCTGAGTTGGATACGGGTTAACAAGCTTGAAAACATTCTCAGTACAGATGAGCAGGCCTTACTTAAAAGCATCCTAATTATGTGATGTATATTGGTTGCATTATACCCAAGGAAGAAACTTTGCATCATGTTAATGGCGCCAAGGAGGGAGTAGCTTGAGGATTCTGAACAGATTAAGCCCCTAAACAGCCGATCCAGTACAAATCAATTTAGAGATGGAAAGAGGGTTTCCAAATTTTCAAAAGTACAAGAAACGACATGAATTAATCAGGAGAAGGGATTTCAGGTAAATATTGGCTGATAGAATCTATAGATTGAGATCGCAGCACCTATGTAATCCCTTACTATGCTATTGCTATTTCAGCATTCTCATATTGCAAGGGCATGTAAATTCCCTCGGCTTATTAAAAGATCATACGCTACAATGCTAATTAATTGCCCAAAAAATTGCTGAAATTCAACTGAATAAATCTTTTACAGATCAATGTTAAGAAAATATATATTCCCATGATAAATGCTAAAAATGGGATCCAATATAAAACACAATCCCTGCTCTCGCTCAAGAGTTCCCATGATAATTTGCAGGACATCTTCGGGGGGGCCTTTCTTGAAGTTCAGCGTGGTGCATTGAAAAGAGCTTTACTGATTATGCCAGTAGCCTCAATGTAGCGTTCCACACACCTGGAGATGCAGCTACTTTCGCTCCCACTCAGGCTTGACCCTGGTTTTGTGATACACTTGGCAAAGCATTTGTCCCTCACAGTCTGCATTGAAATGGAATTGCAATTAACGTCGACAATTGCACACAAATGCCAGTGAAGCTATTGCAAGGTACAAGACATTGAGTACCATTTCTCAAACAAGAATTCAAGAAAGCACTGACAAATGCTTCTAAGAAAAGTACCACTAAAGTCAACTTTGTGATGCCACCAAATCCAAAAAATCCGATTACAAGTTCCAGCCACTAAAGTGATTCGAGAATAAATTAGCTCTAATATCCTCCCTAATACCTGACAGATTTTTCAAAACATGCGAGTCAAAGAGAGGACACCAGGGCTGCTAGAGACCCTAAACTGACTGGTTTTTGAGAGATCAAGTGAAAGTGCAACTCATATGTGCAGATACCTCAACCAGTATCCTAAGAGAACACGCTTTACTAAGATACAAATTTGTACATGAACACAGGTGTTTATACGTTTCCTTCTGCCACAAAAAAATACCAGGAAAGTAAAGCCTGTGCATGACTTTGTAACAAGATGAGCTTGAAATTCAGTACTAATATCAGGGTATATGTTTTCATAACCTCCACTTGAATGCTGATTACAAATAAATAAAGTAGCCAAGGTAAAACCTCTTCTTATAATTTGAAGTTACACAAACAGCTATTAGGCTTAAACCAATGAAACTGCGAGTTCACATTCATCATTTCATTTTAGGAACAAGAATGCCATCTGAAATTCTAATTTGATGATCAGAAGATAATTTCTAATTCCCGATTCCCGCATATAGAATTGCACAGACAATCCAGCGCACGCAACTAGGCTTCTTAGCAATGAGAAAATCCAACCTAAGTGGTGCATGAAATATCATTAACACACAAAAAGTTAAACCAGCAAGCTTAGATGTTGCAAACTCTTTTACCACCCAATGACAGCAGAGAATCAACATTCCACCTAAGTCCTCTCCCTAAAAAGATGAGATAAACACCAAATTACATGAATTGGAAATCTCATCATTATTACAAGTACGGAATAATACTCCCCATCCCTTGTATTGTATTCCCCTAAAATTGGAAACTTAAAGCGCAACTCTCACATTCGAATAATAAAAAAAACCCAGATAAAAAAAATTCAATCTTTGAACTAAAAATCATCTATAACTCATCTTTGACGACTAAAACAATATCATCTTTAGTCATTCTTTAAGCTAAAAACACCCAAAACCAAACAATTTCTCCACTAAACCACCAAAGATGGTAAAAAAAAAAAAGATTTATGCACTAGAAGCAAATAAAAAGAGAGAAAGAGAGTGATTAATAGAGAAAAGGTGAACCTCAAGGAACTCCTGGGCATAAGCTTGTGCAAGTTGATTCTTTAACTGGTCCTTAAAATCTTCTGCTGACATTTGGGGTGACCCAGATCCCATACTTGAATGTGAAGAAAACGAATCCATTTCTTCTTTCTTGCTCTTCTCTCTGTTTTCCTGTTGGCTCTGTGACTCTGTTTCGGTGCTCAAGGAGAAGAGAGGGGCAATGTTTCGATTCAAACCCTAGAGAGGGCTGTGATCCTTCTGTTTTCAGTTTAAGAAAATCCTTAAACCCTTGTTGGCCCAATTGACGTTGTCCTGAGCCAGCCTAGTTACAGAAAAATCGTTGCAGCCCAAAGCATCACAACAACTTTGTCAACATAATTTCTTTATAAACATCATTCATGGGTGAATCTCTCACTAGTTAATGGATCCCATAAATCTAATTTTCTTGAAAGTAAAATTAACATTAATTATGATTTGTTTATGGTGGTTCAAATAGTTTTCACAAATGGTTTGAATTTGGATTAAATCTTGGTTAACATGCAAACAGGTTATAGTTAAGTCAATTCTTTTTTGTCAGTAGAATACTATTATTTATCATAAGATTATGTTTGGTTCTCTTGCTACAGCGGAATGCAATTTTTTCTCTTATTTTTTATGGGTGTTATTTTATCTTTATTTGAGATTTAATTTACTTATACCTATTTGAATTTTTATCTTTTAAATTTATTTATATTATAGTTTATATTTTAAATAATTATACGAAATAAACTTAATTTAAAAATACCCTTGATGTGTTAATGGTTTAAATACTATCATAAATAAAATGTTCAAAATACCATAACTTATAATTATCTTATTTACTACTAGTCATCTTATTGAAAAGAAAAAAAAAACTAATAATGCACAATATATTACTCATCAAATATGATAACTTTAAATTCACTGTTTTTTAAATTTAGAACATCATCATATAAAAATGATATAACAACACTAATAAAACTAATTTAAAACAAAACAAATTTAAATTTTAATAAAAAAAAAGGAATTACACAGCAACCTCGAAGATCTTAATAGTAGAGGCCACCCACATTCTTGTGATTTGGGCTGTAATTAGACTCAAAGACAAGCCTCAATAAAAAGCCATAGTTGGTTTGGTCTTGGTCCTTGAACCATTTTTGGGTCCATGGAAAACAAGCATACATGACCCCCTTTGTTTTGATGTTCCACTTCCGAGGCAAGGTGAAAGATCAAAATATACAAATCAAACTGGTTTTATTTGCCACGCTATGTGGTGGGATGAAGTTTTCTTTTCACCACAAGCAAGGGCGTGAATCGAAAGTTTTACATGTGTATTTAATAAAATTAATAGATAATTATATATGTTAATAAATAATAATAATAATAATAAATATGTTAATTGTAATAAAATGTTGAGTTAGGAAGTTCAAATAAAAATGTTATTTTTTAGGAAAAAAGGGTTAAATATTTATCTTAATTTGAGATTAGATCTCTAAAGTTTTAAATAGTTTGAATTAATAAAATAAAATTTTATCTTGTCATTTTGAGCATTAACTCAATGTTGAAATTTATTTTTAACATAGAGAGAACCTTAAATAAAACCAATCAAAATAAGATATCAAAGTAAATACTAAATCAATTTTAATATAAAAGGATTAAATTGAGAATAAAAGAAAGTTAAGTGATAAAGAACATAAATAAAAAACAAGAAAAAAAACACTGAGTAATTATTGTAACTCATCATAGTTTTTGTGTTTCTTCTATGTTTTATTTTCATTATTTTTTTATATTTTTTTATTTCGTATTGCCTCAGCATCGCTTTCACAAAACCAAACTATAATTGTTAAATGAAAAGGAAAAGGGCTTAATAAAGATACAAAAGATAAAAAAGAAAATGTGAATGAAAAAAAAAAGAAAAAAAGAAGAAGCTTGATACAGGTCACTTTTCATAACTTAAATACCGTTTCATAATTTATATAACATTAATTTTATGAAATCAAACTATAATCGTTAAATGGAAAGCAAAAGAACTCAATAAAAAAAAGAAAAAAATGTAAATGAATTATAAAGAACACAATCAAAAACAGAAGAAAAATGTGAATGAAAAAAAAAAGAATTGAGAATATAATTCATGTTAAGATCGCTATCTTTTAATGTTTTGTTAATCGTTAAAGTTAAACAGAGGCACAAGAAGCATATGGAGTAGTGACCGAGCTCGTGGATTGAAGTTGCTAGCTAGGGTGCAAAACTGCACATAAGTTATGGTATCAAAACAGATGAAAACAACTTGCTGCTTTTGCATTGAGCCCCCAAATTAAAATCCCCCACTTGCTTAAAATTATAGCCCACAGCTTGGTGTCTCACACATGCATTGAACTGGATTTAGTTGCCTTGCTTAGTGCAACTTGCAGCTAGCTAGCTGTGAAATTTCCAATTTTCAATACTAGCATAGATAATTAGCTACCAAAATCTTACCAATAATTGATCTCAACTTTGAAATAAAAATGGATTATATTGCATACAATAATAATAAAAAACATTACTATATTTTAAATTAACATTCAATCTCTTACCTTCAACCCATACGCAGGTGCACGCACGCAATTAAAAATAGTTTGAAACATAAAACAAGATAGCCGTCAACTGTCAATTGGAGGGTAGAGCATTCCAGCTTGGTGGTCCTGTTGAGTT